TTAGCCGGGCATGGTGGCGCATGACTGTAGTTCCAGCTACTTTAAACACTTAAGTGGAAAGATCACATGAGCCCAGCAAGTCGATGTTGTGATGAGCATGCCACTGCACTCCAGCCTCGGTGACAGAGTAAGACTCTGACTCAAAAAAAAAAAAATGACACTTTCCTTACCTCCTCTTCTGGTTAAATTTATTTTACTGAGTGGCTCACAGAACTCAGGGAAACACTTGACTTAACGTACCCATTTTTGATAATGTATATTACCAAGGATACAGAAGAACTGGTTGTAAGAACTGTGCTAGCAAGTTAGTTGAATCCAAGGAGGGGGTTAAGACAACCACAATATTTATGAGATGTGTCAGAAGGTGGCAATGACAGGTTGCATGTGAGTGGGGAGCCTTGTGGGACTGAGCTCTTAACCTGTTTTGATGTTATCCTGTAGATATAAAGCATGGAACGGTACTTGCTCTAAAAGAATTCCATATGGGTCAATCAGTGACCATGACCACGTTTGGGAATCAGGGCTCTTTGCTCTAGAGACAGTGCTTCTTGACTCGGAGCAGCTTATCTTGGAGGACCTGGTATTAAAGACATTCATAGGATAATACAGGTAAGCACAATCAAGACATCAAAAATCCTAACATCAAGATGAACATAGCTGTCTCCTAGTCTGTTCCACATACATCATTTATTTGGGCTACACCTCTGGGCACTTCCCCAATAATCCTTTCTGCTGATCATTCTGTTTCAAACAATGCCAGATCTTTAAGTGATGAGATGAGTCTAAAAACATGCCAGGCCCTTTGGCATCTTATGGGCCATGAAGAATCTCCTTTACATCCTGACTTCCAAGAAGAGAGGAGATTCTTGTCCTGACAAGTTGATTTTCTTTCCCTATGTTCAACCAATAGTGACACAGGGTAGAGTCCATTGGTGCCCTGTGATGTACTGACATGTTTATTGTGTCCACCTGGAAGTTTGAAGGGCTGTGTGCTAGGACAAGACCTTTCTTACATGGGGTGAGTCTCTTAAGTTTTGCATTCTAAACACTATAGAGTATTTAGATTTGCCAGGAATACCTGATATGGACCAACCTGGCAAATATTTATCAGGGTTTTTCACTAGATCTCCTGCTCACTGTGATCTTCATTTTCATGAAGGCAAAAATTAAGTTTTTAGGACATTTACAATTTTTACATTAAAGATTTTAATAGCCGGGCTCGGTGGCTCAGCCTGTAATCCCGCACCTTTAAGAGGCTGAGGTGAGTGGATAGCCTGAGCCCGTGTGTTCAAGACCCACCTGGGCAGTGAGACCTCATCTCTACAATAAATTAAAAAAAAAAAAAATCAGCCAGGCGTAGTAGCGCATGCCTGTAATTCCAGCTACTTGGAAGGCTGAGGTCGATGCTGCGGTGGCCGGGTGCGGCCACTGCACTCCAGTCTAGGTGACAAAGTGAGACTCCAACTTAAAAAAAAAAGATTTTAATAATGTGATTTCTGAATATTTCTTTTCATTCTTTCCTACTCCTGCTCATGGGAGTGGCAAGAATAGTGGCAGAATTATTGTGTATTAGGGAATTTACTGATTTGTTTTACAATGCAACCTGTAACAAAAGGCACTGTCTCACTGTCAAGGGAAACAGTCACTCCCCACTGAGGAATACAATCATACAAAAGTGTTTTTGTAGCTGAATTGAATCAACTTTCTTCCAAGGATGGTTTTTCTTCAACTAGAAATTTGCATTTCTGTGCAAACCCATATTGATTTTTTCTTTGTTCTCTCTTGATTTTACATAGGTTTCCAGTGAGAAATTCCCTAATTCAGTGTTTAAATTGGACTTTTACATGGACTTCTTTGTATAGGTGTGGCATTGTAACAAAGGAAGTGGCTTGGTGTCTTTGATAACCTCATTTGGCTCCAGCAGAGTTCTTTGAGATAAGTCCCTTGCAAGCTGGATGTATTCCAAAAGTGTGCAAACCATATTATGCTTCTTGAGTCCTTTGCACTCTGAAGTTCCCTGTGAGGGAACATCGAAAATCTAGCAAGCCAGTCAGATGTCCCCTCTCAGAAGACATAAAGAGATTGCTGGTGATTATACTGGACATACTTACGCAAGCACAAGTTTTTCAAAAATGTATATTTCCTTGAAGTTTTCCATTCAAATTGTGTAAAAATGCAAATAAACACATGGAATATATAATGAGATATATGTAAAAAAAAATGAGCTGGTGTTATGTAGAAAGAGGATATATGAAGTGCTTTCATGATGGTGCACAGACTTGGCAATGAGTTACATATTGTTAATGTGGGAGGAAGAGAACAAGGGTTTACTATCTGTTCAAATAGGTGGTCGATGTCCAACAAATTTCTATTGCACAACATGTATCAGTGAACCTACAATGCACTTTGAGGACTGTTTCACACATTACCATATTTGAGAAAAATATAAGATATAAACTTTTTATGTTTTGTCTTTAATAAGTTCTTCAGTGTCCAAAATTCCATTGTTAGCCAAATATCATTATAGTAAAATGATTGGTTCCAATGCTATACTATTTAATACTTTATATTAGTTTTCGCTAATTCCAAAAAAAGTGTGGTCAAATAGCTGATAGGTGAATCCAATATGTCTCTGAGTGCAAAGGGTTAAATTATGCAAAGACAGACCTTACTTTCTACCATATCTTAAGGACATCAGTTTACATTAAATCAATATCAGTATTTCATCCTCTTTGAACTTTCGGTTCTACTTCCAGTTTACATTTGCTTACCTCTAATATTTTAAAGTCTGTCTTTTCATAAAACACTAATTGAACTAGACCTGATTAATATATTATGTTACCAGTTATGCCCCCACATAATTGTACTCTACTTTCTCTGATTATTATTATTTTATTTATTTATTTATTTATTTTTGGAATCGGAGTCTCACTCTGTTGCCCAGGCTGGAGTTCAGTGGCTCGCTCATGACCACTGCAGTCTCAAACCTCTGGGCTCAGTGATCCTTCCACCTCAACCTTCCAGGTAGCTGGAACCACAGGTGCGTGCCATCACACCTGTCTAATTTATTTATTGTAGAGATGAAGTCTCACCACGTTGCCAGGCTGGTCCAAATTTCTAGTCTCAGGCAATCCTCTCACCTCCACCTCCCAAAGCGCTGGATTACAGGTGTGAGCCACCACTGCCAGCACTCTGATTATCTCTTGCAGTTTATTTCTTACACCTCATTTTCATGATAGTTCAGGGAATTTAGCCATAGTGTAGCACCTTAAGGAATGGGACATTTTTAAGCACAAGACTCTTTTTTTAGCCAGCTCAATAACCAAGAAACTATTTAGACCAATGTATATGTTAGTCACTCAGAGTAGAATGGTAAACAAAAGAGCTGTGAGCAGCCACTTACACATGTTACCCAAAAGGATATTGGAAATCCATTGGACCTTAGTAGACATTGGTAAATGAATGAATTATTTTAGACTAACCACCCTTTCAGGACCACGGACAGCTATACTGACCCCTTGCTGTCTCTTGTACTCTTAAAGTTAGGATTGTAAAATGAAAAATCTGAAGGTTCTTGATCATGTAGCCTGCTTAATGCTTTAAGATTTTAAACATCCTGTGTATCCTCTTAGAAGGATTATTCAGGTCATTGAGTTCTGAGCTGCTAGCTCAGAAAGCATACCTGTTCCTTTTACTATTTGATGATTTAGGACTAATTGTATTTCCTACACAGCTGAGTATAGGTGCTTGTGCTGTCATTTTTAGCTCTTTAATCTGAGGCAAGTTTCTTAGAGTGTGTGTGACTCTTAATAGAGGAGACAGAATCATATCTCCTCAGTAAGATGGGAACAGAGCTTTCTCCCATAGGCTGTTATGTCACATAAGTTAGTACGTCTAAAGGAGTTAGAATCATGCCTTAAACATGGCCACTGTTCTAAAATGACTGTCATTCCTATCGTTGTTGTCATCACAGTTTTAAGATTCTTTGCTTAAAGCAGCAGTGGAAATTGTCATCTCTGATATACCACTCATGTTCTAGCTCATTGAGATACTGAATGTCACTGATGTGCTACACATAATATCTAACATTTCTATAGACATATGCTTGTGTTGGTTTTTTATTTGTACATTTATTGTATTGTCCAGAAAACTGGGAAATCCACACTCAAGAAAAAGTAATAAGTCAATTTGGCAAGATAATGTGCTCCAAAATACCTTATATATGAGAATATAGGAAAAAAGAGACTCCATTTTTTTGTGCTATATTCTCACAGCACCGAACACTTCCAGTTTTCTAGGTGTAGGTTTTCTACAACGCACTGAGCAAGCAATTCTGCAGTGGACCCTGCTGAGTGTCCTCTCATTCAATGCAGTTCTGATACTATCTACCTGAATATAGTGTCAGCTCACACAGGCATAGGGGCTGAGTTCAACAAAAGTGCACCAATTTCATGAGTGTGGCAAAATCATTGAAGAATTTATACTGGAGAAAAACCTTATAGGTGCAATGAATGTGGGACAGCTTTTAGTGTGCGTTCAAGCCTAACCACCTATCAGGCAATTCATAATGGAGAAAAACCTTACAAATGTAATGAGTGTGGCAAAGTCTTTATCCAAAATTCAAATCCTTCACAACATTGATTAATTCATAGTAGAGGAACACTTGTAAGTGTGACAAGGCCTTCAGTCAAATGACTTCTTTTACAACATCACAATTCATTCTTGAGAGTATACTTAAAAATACTATGTTTATGGTTAACCTGTCATTAGATTAAGCATTAATATTCATCAGAGAATGTATATATATTTAACAAATTCATGTGACTGTACTATGTATGACAGAGGTTTTATCCAGGCTTCAGAGCTCACTCGGCATCAAAATATACATATTTGATGTATATTTTGCACACAAATATAACATGCATGGTGAGACTAATACCCTGGACTATGACTGTAGGTTAGGATTCATATAAAGAATATTTTGCTGTCTACTTCCCAGTTCACCTTTTATTATATAGTACAGAATAATTACAAGTCTATATATGTTTAAATGCATGACATAATACATACCAAAAGTTGCAGGATGTTTGGAAATGGCTCATTACCTTCAGGTTATAAAATGCTTTATCAAATTAATTGAGGTTTCTTGAAAAGGGCACTTAACTCTTTATAGCTTCTCAGCTGAACTTTGCAATGTGTCCATTGTAAACTTTCTTGCACACCTTACATGGTGTTGTCTGTGAAATAATCATTAGGGTAGAAGGGCTCACTCCATTAGGTGAGTATTGTTTCCATTCAAGTTCCTGAAGGGGGACTCTGCCTTTTAAAATTAACTATTGCTTCAATCAGAGAGCTTATGGTATAGCAGAGAATAATGGAAGACTATGATATTCATGCTTATTGACAGAAGGGCACTGGGTTATGGAAAGAAATTCCACATCAACTGACCATGAAATAGAGACAGCCAAGAACTTAGGACATGGGGATTTTTACGGGAGTAGAGTATGTAATAAGTTATTAGGGACTGATTGCATGGCAGAATTAGTGCAGGAAAAATGGCGGTCATCTTCTCCTTTAAATGGCAATAGATGTTGTACAGCTAAGATTTTGTAAAAAATTGGTCTTGTCTTGAAACTGTAGAGAGAGCAGTGAGGGTGGAGAGTTTATTCAAAATAACCAGAATCCCAGGCTGTTGTTTTTTTAGTAGGCTTTACTTTAACTATTGGAATCACATTTTGCTACTGTTTTTTTAAGTGTCTTATGTTTACTAATAAAATGATATTTGTGTAACTATGAATTAACATTATTTTGATCAACATACTCTTATGCTACCTCCATAGAATACTTCATAACAGATGATACTCCACCATTAGGCATTAAAATTGAAGGAAATCTTGGCACAATGGCTCACGTCTATAATACCAGCATTTTGATAGGCAGAGGTGAGAGCATTGCCTGAGTTCAGGGGTTCACGACCAACCTGAGCAACATGGCAAGACCTCGTTTCTATACTCAATCAAAAGTGGCTCGTGTATAGTGATGAACAACTGCAGTTCCAGCTACTTGGAAGGTTGAGGTAGTAGGATCACCTGAGCCCAGCAGGTCAAGGCTGCAGTGGCTGTGATTGTGCCACGGTGCTTTAGCCTGGGTGACAGAGTGAGACACCCAATCAAAAGGAAAAAAATAAAGGAAAAAGAAATGAGAGTTTCCCAAGACTCATCTGAGCAATGTGGAAATCATTAGACTTGTTAGATGATTATTTAGAAGTGAGATGAATAAACTAGAAATGGGTGGGAATAAAACAAAAGTCTGAATACAATAATATCAAAGGTTGTGCAGACCAAAGGGAGCCTCAAGAGGTTTCCCAGCATTAAAGGTGAGAAGGTGCCTGATCCTAGGGGTTCAAGACCAGCTTGGGCAAGACCTTATCTCTACAATAAATAAGCAATTATCCAAGAGTGACAGTCTGCACGCGTGGTTTCAGCTACTTGGAAGGCTGAAATGGAAGGATCGCCTGAGCCCAGCAGGTCGAGGATGTACCCAGACTGTACCACTGCACTCCAACCTGGGTGACAGACTGAGACCTCATCTCAAAAAATTACATAAATAAAAATTCAAAAGAAAAAAAGGTGTGCCGACGTATTATCAAAAGTCAGCTGCCTGACAACTAAGTCTGTGCTTTCAGTTGCATTCGCTGAAGTAAAGGATGACTTCATAATGTAGAAAAGAGAAAGTCATGGCTGAGCATGGCGGCTCACACCTATAATCCCAGCATTTTGGGAAGCCGACGGGAGAGAATTGCCTGATCCCATGGGTTTGAGACCAGTCTGGGCAACTTGGTGAGACCTCATCTCTACAATAAATCAAGAAAAATTAGGTGGATGTGGTAGTTCCAGCTACTTGGAAGGTTAAAGCGGAAGGATCGCCTGAGCCCAGCAGGTCGAGGCTGCAGTGGCCGTGAACATGCCACCACACTCCAGCCTGGATGACAGACTCCAAATCAAAAAAAGGAAGGAGGATTTCAACTATGAACTCTATAAATAAATTATAATTACAACTTCTAATGTTCTATTTTTCAATTATGACAAGTTATGTTTATTATTTTTCAGTTCTCTTGGGTATTACACTATGTGGCAACCAGGTTGAAGTGTACCACAAATCTATAAACCTGGAAAATAGCAAAGATTGAAGAACCCCCATCCCCAACCCTAGGCTGGTCTTGAACTCCCGAGCTCAAACAATTCTCCTGCCTCAGCCTCACAAGTGCTGAGAATACAGGAATGAGTCATTAAACCCAGCTGATGCGCTGTGTTTTCAAAATGTAGTGATGTATCTTCTTACATTCATCACTGTGCAATACATAGACATCCTGTTCTTTCAGAATGGAAATATTTTGAATATGCTAATTTTCCTATCTAAACAAAACTATTTCAATTGGTTATCACTTCTGGGTGGATGGTA